GTCACGTGACCTCGGGTATTCCAAATTTAGATTACCCGGGCAAAAAAGACCAAAAGTCCTTTGACCCTAATAGGGAGAAAAGTCGATAAGGACAACTTAGGCCGTTTTCAAGCACCTATCTCAATAGCTCAACAAACAATCTGACTTATCGGTTTTATTCGACGGACCAATCAGGTTCTTTGTTGAGCCATTAAAATAGGTGCTTAAGAACGAACGCACTTAGTCAATGAGGACAATTCGTCAATAAGGTTAATTAGGTCATAGGGTCAATTTCGTCTGTATAGAGAGTTATGAAAATGTAAACAATTAGTCAATACTTTATTATAAATAAAGGCCATCTCGGTCCATCGACAATGATAAGTTTCGCTTTACAAAATAATCGTCTTATACAAATCAAAGCGCCTTTATTATATAATACCCAAAAACTGATTATAATACATAAACCCTGCTACAACACTATGATCGCTAAACCTATATACTACACTATACTCCCTTTTGACCTACACTTTGGAAGCACTGACTCGCCGTTTTAAGACTTTCAACGGCTACTAACACATTTTAGGAATTTTCTAGAAAAATATACGATCATATCCATTAATTAGATGTGCACATCAAATTTTACTTTAAATGGTCTAAGCAGCCTCAAAACAAAGTAACCTGATAAACTTAGTACAAAAAGGTAATATGAATTCAAATATATCACTGTTTTGCGGAATCTCATAAGCTGTAACACAACACAATGTATTGTACAAGATATAACTAAAAGTTGTTCTAAATCAATTTGATTGACGGTGCCAATTAATATTGGTTTAATTGAGCAGCTCGTATGGAGCTCTTATTGCTAACAAACTTATTAAGCATTTATGTTGCATATATAACTATTGTTTAATAGTTTATAATATAATATACAAAGCAATTCGCAGCATACTAGGCATAGGAAGGAAAATGCCTGTAATGAGTTTTTTTTTACTACGTAACATGAAATCATCTGTCTCGAGTGTCTTTAAACTAGCGACAAAGCCTGCAAGTTGAATATCTACAGCGAAAAACCTGCACAGCCCTTATAAGAAAACGAGACCAAAAAATCATAGCTAATATTCTTAGTGTTAATAAAGATCATCGAAATGTAATGTAAATATGGATAATTGTAATATAAGTGTATCAGGATTTAATTTGAGTCACGTGTAAAATTCCTTATAAATGCATGAATTGATATTTCGTGTAACCTTAATTTGCAGATGCATAATCTTCTTACTACCTAAGTCTAAGAATTTAACAGTGCCCACTTTATTGGTAGGTCACGAAAATTATTCCTATGAAAAATGGTATTCATAAACTTGATTTTAATAAATTAGTATTAGTGTTAGTGTTAGTGCTAAAATTTACATAGGTCGGATTTGTAAACACATGATCATTGAATAAAATACATATATGTCTAAAAAAATTATCAATATTCTCATCAATTCGGGGATTATTGCTAATTGTTATATGCCCATTCATACAATATCAATCTTTATCATACATCTTGTCAATAAATTAAGGATCTACTTTACTCTTTCTTCAGGTAAGAAAGAGGCACGAATAAATTAATGGCATTAAATTTCCAAAAACAAACGACTGGGACTCCGTTACATACGAATTCACCATTTCCAGATTCTCGATCGCAAGATATGCTTACGAAATTATCATCACAGCCTTTTTTTATCGCTCACGAAAATAGCATTCCTACCGCTCTATCCTCAACAATATCTCCCACACCTTCTACCTCCTGCAAAAATAACGGCTCTACTATTCTAGCGTCGGAATCATTACATAAAAACTCTCTTTTTATTCGTGATAGTATTTCTGATAATATTCCTGATAGTGTTTCTGATAATATTCCTGATAAGATTCCTAGTCTGTCAACACCCATTGACAATATCCGACCTCTGTCAAGGCTTAATGATAAGATTGACAAAATTATCACCAACCAACCTCTGTCAACATTTGCTAAAAATCTTCTTAATAATGATAATAATGATAATAATGATAATATTATCACCAACCAACCTCTGCCAACATCTATTGATAATATTCCTGATAATATTCCTAGTCAGCCAACACCCACTGACATCACTAGTAGACAACCCCCAAAAATACCCAATGATAATATTGATAATACTATCACCAACCAACCTCTGCCAACATCCGCTAATATTAAAAGTGATAATCCTATCGACAAACAACCTCTACCAACATCCACACCTATTGATGA